TCAAATATAGGAGAATGTAATTAGTGGAAACAGAAGCAAGGGGGGTTTATTCTCTGTTAAGTGCATTAGTAAACTAAATTGCAACAATTTGAAGGAAATTTAATTGAAAGTTTGTCAAACTATATAGTAACCTGTTGTATCTTTATCCATTTGATATTGTGCAAATGTTACAATTTATTTATTAGCGTTTTTCCGCCAAAATGAAATTTCTAGGAAAATAAAACATGTATCAACCTTTCGAAGTTACTTCCTCTCACAAGATACTTTTTTGATTACATTTATATGTGAGTATGTACATTTGCATAATAAATGGTATTGAATCCATTCTGAGTACTAAGATTTGATTGGAAAACTTTTCCTAAAGTTATTTTCAAAAAAGTTGTTATTTCAAAACAAAAATAGGGAATTTCATTCATTTCTCTTATGGAAAATATTTACCTAAAATAAAGTTAAAAATTAAGAATGATACTGTAGTTTTTAAATATATTTTCTTTCAGTGGTTACAGCACATTTTATTTATGTCTTCATCATTTGTCACTGTCTTTGAATGTTTCATATTGCTGTGACCTATATATCAAACAGATCAGTTATGCACCTATTTGTTTTTAAAATATTAACTATTGGATTAAGTTTAATTTATTGCTTTAGAAATCTAAAAGGGTTTCTTGTAATAATTCAACTTCATCATAGTGGAAAAGAATAGTTCTAAGGAAAGGATAATGTCAAAGTGTTAAAGATTAAGAAAGACTTTTATACATTTATTATTGTATCTACAACTTAAAAGTGAGTTTATTTTTAGTTTACTGTTATAATATAATTTAACAGATGTTTGTTTTCTGGAAATATCTATTGATTGATTAACTGTTTTCTTAATATTATTGTGCAGCCATTTATAATTTTAACCATTCATATTTAGTGAAAACAATTGACTTTGAGAAAAACACATTCAAATTCATTCTCATCAAATCACTTAAATTAAAAAATATGTTTTTGATATTCATGTTTTAAAACAATAATTTTTCATTATTAACAAATTTATTTGAAATGATTATAGTATTAAAAACAATTTAAAGGAATTATATTAAAGCTTTAATGACTTTAATTGTTCCTTGACTTGATCCTGCTTAACAGCATCAAGCAGGATCAAGTTGCAGGATCAGTTGCTATAACTATTTTTATAATTTTGAACATAAACTTAACAAATTGAGAGCCAAATGATTATGGGTTGTGACTTAGTCACTTTGTTCGTATAGTAAGACACTATCCATAAACATATTCATTTGCATTGTTGGCTTTAGCACATCATGCTTACTGGTGGATGTGACTTGTATATATTTCACTTATTAGTGATAAAGTTTTGGCCTTATAGGCATATATGGGATACTGGTGTTTGGTTGTGCATTAGACCATAAAAAGAACATATATCTTCAAACACAAAATACATGGTCTTCCAAAAAAAGAATGCTTTTATTTTGAATTATTATAATTATATTAATTATTACCTGAGAAGTATGCAATGTACTGTACCATACATTAATTGATAGAGTAAATGTCTGGGCTTCATCTATCATCTGTATATATATATATGTATTTTTTTGTCTACTGCCTCTAGGAAGCACTGTAATCAAAAATGGTGACTTTGTAGTAGAGAAAGTGTTTTGCGTTCTGTAGTTTGCAAAGTCAGAGTCATCATTGTGCAACATGATTTTCAATGACTTTTTTGAGGTTCATTGAAAATTTCAAAATGTAAGGCAAACAATCTTGTTGCAATGTATGAACTATAAGTAAATTGATGAGTGATAATGATGATTTTAAGTGATAAATATTTTCTTGAAAATGAAATGTGAAGTCTGATCTTTCTTTATTTCCTCTTAATACAATATTATATATATAATTACTGTTATATAATTATATAGTTACTGAAAAGAAATGGACTTACAAGAGTCGTGCATATAAATTATACTTCAGATTACTAGAAGTAATATGTGATTAATTTACTTAATGTAAGTAATTAAATCAATTTGCTGATATATTATGAACCCAATGCATACATGCTAATATATAAGGCATAGTATTATATTTTGAATTAAAAAGTCAGATGGTATATTTCACAATATAAAAACAGAAGAAACTAGAAACATCTGACTTCCGTCATGTCCAGTCATTGGAAACAGTCTTCACTGTATGGATTTATCATGAATTTGCTGTTTAATTTGCTTTTATGAGCATTATCATAGCTCTATAAAGACAGAAATATTTTAACAAAATCAGTGAGTTTCATTTTGTATTCCTGATATACTTGGTATATATGACATGGATTTTTGATTTGCATCATATATGATTTCTTTTATCTTAGAAAATTNTTTTTAATCTCAAAAACAGTTAGATGGATGAAAATTGAGGCTAGGTGTGAAAGACATAGGATCTGGAGATTTGGTTAATATGTACAAATATCCAGTCTGGACCAGAAGTTGTGTTTTCAATTCAAAAGTTTCTCAAGAATGGATTTAGATGAAAATCGAGACCAGATACAGAAAGCATATTTTTTAAATTGAAATATAATTAAAAATTGCAGCCTGACATTGTGATATCACAATAAGTAATTGTTCATTTAGTTTATATGATACTGTTTTGTGTACAGAACAATGTAATATGCAACAGCATGGGCTAATTAATGTAAACAAGTTTGGCTGGAAATAAATGAGAGGACTGAGGTGTTTTTTAGATGGACTAGAAAATTATTTTTCTGTGTTTTCAAGCATGAAATAAACTCACAAAAACATTTAATTTGTTGAAGGTGATAACAGCTCCAAGCTATTTGTCATATGCAGATTGCATGTCATTACATCATGCATAGCTGTGATTGTCATGTTACCTCTTGTGGCAGTCATGAGAGACTTTCGTGATGTCATTTTTGATTATGTCAGGTCATCAAAAACAATGTCAGAAGCAGAAAATTGCCACTACTACATGTGCTCATGGGTTAAAAGTAGGGTTTTATCTATATGTTAGTTTTATAATGTACAGGGTGTCCACAAAATCTGGGTACATAAGGATTAACACATACTTTTAAAAACAAAATAATTTTATTTGATTCTAATATTAATAAATAACATTTTCAATATGAAAATATTATTTATTGCGCCTTGCAAAATTCAGGTGAACTCGATTAAATAGGTCTGTATTGCCATCGATTTCAGCACACTGACTGGTAATGGTGTCCACAAATTATGGCACATCAAATTATGTATTGAAAATGATGGAAATCATATTGAAAATGTTATTTATTAATATCCCTGTATAATCAATATACTTTATTTTTGTTTTTATCACAGTTTTTGGAAATGATATAAGTGGGAACAGTTTTCATGGATGCAACATTAAAAATATGTATTATGAGTTCAAAGTCATGCGAATTGTTTATTAAATTTATAGTTAAAATATATGATTGTTTATAATATTATTTATGTACTGTTCATGCAATGAATAAAGTATGACTTTAAATAAATAAGTTAATACTTAAAAGATGTACCTCTTATTTAAAAAAATAATTTAACAAAACTCAGTATATGTGTTACAATGTTGGAACCAATTTTCTTTGCTTATACAGACAATAGGTACATTTTTATATGCTTTTGCTTTAGAATTGACAGATCTAAACTACTAATTTATATATCAATGAATCTATTAATTTAAACACATTATTTTATTTTTCTATTTCCAGGATCTGTTTGCAATGTATTCACTTAGATATTTATATTTAAATCATAAAAAAAATTGGAATGATAAAATATATTAATGTACCAAATAGAAGAACAAATTGGTGATCTGTTTATCTTTACAATGTCATATTACAACTGAATACGTAGGTAATGACTAGTCTTTGCTGAGCAGGCCATATGATGATGTGACAAGAATTGGCATGAGTGGATAACACCACTGGACAGTTTTAGTTGTCATTAGTTCATGCCTCACCAATGGGCTGGCCACTTGTGTTTTTTGAATTTTTTTCATATGTTTAACACCTAAATATAGGCCAGTTTTCCATAGAAGTGTTCCTGGAATGCACTTCCCTCCCTGGCATATCTCCCATGTGTTGTGTTATCTTGCTTTGTCTTATTCTCCCAGTCCAGATCATTAAAGTTAAGCATTGAGAGACCATGAGAATATTTAAGTTAAAGACAATATGGATTATGCCATTCTGATTACTCTGTCTATAGTTTGATGATTTTATTTTAAGCCTGGATTAAAAAGACACAGAAACTGGTGAATGGAAAAAGGCATCTTGCTATGAAATGAATTTGAAACAAAAAGCACCAGAAATCTTGAAGAAAGTGAGAATATGTGATGCTAAATAATGTCAAGGATAAGGATAAAAAAGATATTGAACAACAATAAATGAATTAAAAAATAAAATAAATAATAGCAGTCCTATCATTTAATTTTTCAAAAAATTTTGATTTTAGTTTTAATAATTTATTTTACATATATTGATAAAGAAAAACTACAAGCAGTACTCTTGCATTTGGTAAAAGATTTGAAAATAGACAAGTCAGCCCAAATTATCAGTTAAACATTTATTATTTTACATTTTACTTATTCATTTATATCCATATACTATAAATATATTAATAAATGAGTATATAATTAAAAAATTCAATTTTCTAATCTATATTTACAGTAAAACCTCTAATCTCATATCCATTTTTTAACAATGATCACTCACATCTTTCATACTTCTTCCAGTAATACTTTATAAATTGAAATATAAAGCTATTGTCCAGTTTGGTAATATGTACACTACATGAACATTTTCAGGCTTCTCCAGATAATTTGGTTCCAAAAAGCAGAAAACCTATACTACATTTTCAGTTGTTTAAAAATTAAGGTTTTCTTTGGAAATTTGATAATGAGTAGGAACTTTCCAGCTTTAAGTAAAATTTCCTTAAGCTATTAATGATTTGAATAATTAAAATTTATAAATTAATGAAATGATGTTCTTTGTTTTGCAGATGTTTCATACAATTTTGTCGTAGAACAGCAACCAATCGGAAGACTGCTCTTCAGACAATTTTGTGAAACCAGATCTAATTATAATAAATGTAATAATTTCTTAGATGCAGTGGTAAGATTTTATTAATTTCTATAATTAGAGTTTGTCATATCTTTAAAAATTGAATAATGAAGAAATAATTTTATAATTATAGGTTCATTATGAAGTTCAGTTGGATGAAGATAGGCCTGCTGTTGCTCAGGAAGTCTATAATAAATACCTCATACCGGAGGTGAGTTTTTGGTTTTAAAGTTTTAATCATTTTTAGATTGAAACAGTTCTTAATCTTCGTAAGGACAGTGTGATTAACAACATAAAAGCTTTATTTTTTCAACCACCTTTTCCATTATTATAATACCATTCCAGGTTTTAAAGTGTGTATGTGTGTATATGCATTATGAATTACTATATAATCATTTTCCATTGTAAAAATAAGCAATTATGTAGCCCATGTTAACATATCTCTATCATATCAGTGAATGAGAACCACGTTGTTCTATCTCCACTTTTGTAAGTTTTGAGTAAAGACATGCTGTATAACAAATTTTTTAAGCGGAACAACAATGTAGTATTAAAATCTCAAAATGTGCAGAAGTGGAGATGAAACAAGTGGTTCTCAGTCAGTCATGTACTGTACATTAATATTAATTAGGATAACATAACATTGAGATATAAATAATATATGTTGTATCTGTGTGTTTAGTTTAGAAGATAAGAATGATATACAGCAAAGAATTATGATATAAAATAGGAAAAGAACTGCCTTTTGATATTACTTTAATAAATAAATAATACAATATGACAACAAAGAGTAAGCATTTTTGATAAATAAATTTATGATCATCAGGCAAAAGACATTGTAATATGAATAGAATTAAGTACAAATATTTTAGAATATCAAAATTAAAGTTAAATTTTAAAATAATGTTAGATTTTTAGGAATGGAAGAACTTAAAATAATATCAACAACTTAGCAGTAAAAAACATTTTTCTGTAAATTTTAAAATATATTATTAAATCAATTTTAATTTATATATCTATAGTTTATTGTTTTGTATTATTGTTAATTTATTTTGATGTAAAAATATTCCGTAAACTTCTAAACTTTGGTAAATTAGACAATTTCGTGTTTATGCTGTAATTACTGTATTTCTTATATTATGGCAGAAGATTTATTTTCTTATGTAGCTATAGAACTTTTAGAATCATCATCTATCATATAGTAGAATTATGTTTGATTGTTTTGTCAAATATGTAAGAAGTATTTGAACCTGTAATGAATATATATTTTGAGCTGTATTATGCAGCTAAGGCATATAATATCCAGTTTTCTTTCATTCTTCTTTGTGAAAAACAGAATATATCCATATTATAAATTAGGCTTGCTTTCATTTTCTTATTTTTTCTGAAAATTATTACTTAATTTTGCATTCAGTACAAGAACCAAAAATTATTATTAGTATTTACAAATCCAAATAAACTTTATTGTACTAGGATTATTCCCATTACATCTGGGGTTTACAATCTATATAATCACTATAACGTTACACATTTTCCTTTCAATTTTAAAAATTAATTCATACATAACATGTTATAAATTAATTGAATTGGTTAACTATTTATTTGAATGTTAACAGAAACCACCTTTTCAATTATTATCAATTAGATTTTTAATATTCTTACAAATACCTTACTCTAAGACAATAATCTTTGAAAATAGTTATACAAATTATATATAGTTTTAACCTCTGTCCTGTTAAAAAAAAAAGTATGCATACACTTTTCATCTTTAATGTTTTCTAATTCTCGGAGGTTATATTTGTAACATTGTCTGTTTTTTCTAAGCTGCAGTTAAATAATTGCAATAAAAACAAATAAGGCCAACTGAGTACCCCCATTTTTTCACAAATACAAATTGAGTATGATTTCTATAATTGTTCTGTTCAACCCAATCATTAAACTTGGTTAATGAAACTGAAGTGAATAACTTACAAAAGCATGAGAGAAATGCTGTAGGTCTATAATTTTGTGGAAATTTACTCTCCCCTTTTTTTAAATAACATATAAAGAACAACCTTGTTCCAGTCTCTTGGAATCTTACTCATATATTGTATAAATCATTAAATTGTCCAACCAAGAAATTTACAATATCCATCAATAATTTTTAATTACAAAATTGGAAATTAAAGGATAATACCGCTCCAGGTTTTAAAGTATAAAACCTGGAGTGGTATTATCCTTTAATTTTCTTATATTATTGCTTAGATTATTTACAATAAATAATTGTTAATAAGTTTTGTCTATTGGATGATAATTATATTTAAAATTAGGAGTATTTTTAAGTGAATCTTTTTTGCTTTTACGTAATTTCTATAAATTCTTTTATTTTCTAGATATGCTTTGAACGATTGATCTGAGTTTGTCTTTCTAAATTGTTTCAAACTATTTTGTTTCTTCAGTTTATAATAATAACACTTATTGTCAAACTATTTTTGTTTAAATTTTGAGCCTTTAAACTTTTTTAAACATCTATAATGATATGATTCTAATAATGTTACTAATTTATAATAATTATTTATTGGATCTTTCTGTATCTCGTGATATTAGATCATATGAAATGTTTTCAAATTCTCTCAAAAAAACTGTTTGTTAACATTTCCCTCTATCTGATTTTAAGTCTAGTGTAGATTCCTGCCATTCATTTACCCCATTTAGACTTCGAATCAATTTTAACTGTACTGGAAATGGTCCAAATCATTAACTTCAGCACTTCCATTATTAAACAGCAATCAGTAAAAACTTCCAAACAGATAATATAATCTACTACTGACTTACCAATATGTGATGCAAAAGTATATTTCACTGGAATATCACCAGTAACCCTACCATTTAAAATAAACAGACCATTATCCTGAACAAATTCCAATAGAGCTTTCCAATCTTCATTTCCAGTATTATTGTGAGACAAGCTGAGGGTCCCTGGGACGATCCCTAATGACCACTTACCCAGCACAGTCTGCAAAGACCAGTCTCAGATTATCGGATGGCTTAGGAGGGCAAATCGAGTGGGGAGTGCGTCGGTAAGCCGGCAGGCGTCCTTTCAATGACAGGCAACAGGTTTAACAAAATAACAAAGCATTTATTGAATAACTAATCCTAATTACAATAGCTATAAATATGAGTTAACTATACAAAGGGGTAGCTCTTAGCAGCTAAGCCTATTCTCGGAGAGAGAGAGAGAGTTCACAATGCTCTGAAATAAAAATACCTCTATGAGGAAATGAATGGTATGCGTTGAATGGGTCGTAGAAATTGTAGTAGATGCAGGAACTGTAGTATGGCGATAAGTGTGGAAATTTGAAGTTGTGGTCTGTCATATGTTGATGTCTTCTCCTTTCAGTCATTGCATCTGGTGTATGGAGACAAGATGCACACATTAACAAGTATAACTTCCTTTGGATCGCGCTGAGCTTCCAGGAGCTCGAGCTTTTATATCATTGTTGTGGGAAATTAACACGTGATCGACTTTTGTTGACGATGACAGTGCATTCCTGCCACCTAAGTGTCAACTTTCCCACCTAATTGTGAAAACAAACGATGACCTCCGATATAATTCTCGTCACAATCGGTTTTTTTCATCGGGGTTGTTTACAAATTTTTTTTTCGACAACTACGTAAAAATCGCAGATCTCACATTATCTGTAGATAAACTTATATAGTTAACATTAGAATTAGAATTTTCCCTATATATATATATAGTTTGGCCTTGACTCTATATATTGTCTGAATTCTGACCAATTCAAGCATTAAAATCTCCACATATAAATCCATAAATTTGTAATAATTGCCCACTGTGTAACAGCTCTGGAGTTTTTGGTAATATGCTGCTTTATCTATTGAAGGGAAAAAATATACAATTATTATACCAATCTCTTCAAGTTAATACTAATACTAATATTAAAACTAATAGAAGATTCAGTCAAGCATCTGGAGAACTATTTCTCTGAGCATTCCCAAATAACACAATATGTTCTTGTTTTAAATATAACTTATCTTCTTCCTTCATCTTGACCATCCAAGTCTCTGAAAAACAATAATGGTTTTTTTACATATTCTTTAACAGCTCACCTATAAAGCTTTTCCTGTAGACCCTGAATATTCCAACATCCAATAGTCACTATAGTTTTATCATTCCACTTATTTGTCTTCATGGGGATATTATCTCTTAGATTACTAGTATTATTCTGTTTATCTACATTCTTTTACTTTTTAAGCTTTAACACTATATCCTTCATCTTTTCTATCTTGACAAATTATTCATTTATTCCCTTCTTTCATCTGTTTGTTATTAACTCTGGAGTATTTATTTCTTTTTTAAAAAATAACTTAATTCAACCACTTTATCCATACTCATATCATACATAAACATTTTATTGTCTTTTATATAGTAATTTTCTCTTAACAATATTTTATTTTCTTTTAATTTTTTCTATCTAATTATTGGTTAGAGTTTCAGTCTCCTCAGCCTTGATCTTTTACACAAGTCTGTAGTAAATATTGTCTTTCCCATTTTTTCATTATCTGAATATACTTTCTTTTTCCAAAACTCTTTTAAAATTAAATTTCTAGTATACTGAAAATCTACAGAAATTTTACCATTGGTTTTATTTTATTTTATTTATTAAGGCTCTCAATCAAACTATTAGATATACCTAATTTTATATCTAGAAATTGACTGAATTCCTTTGAGTATTCCATCAAATTAAACAGAAAATTTAAAATTATGATATTTTTGTTATATCTCGCTCTCATTAACTATTTTATCCATTTCAAATTCTAACATACCTCTTATTTGTTTATAATTTTTAGAAATAACTTCCACTTCTTCTACTCTCTATTATTAGTACTTAACAGTTTTGTTTCACAGTTGCTGTTTTCTTCATTTAAATTTAGAAGCATTTTTTTCCCCTCTAATTTGAAAATTTGTCTTTGTTAATTTCTCATGCTATATTCTTTTTTTTTTTTTTTTTTTATTAAAGCTTTTGTTGTTCTTTTATTGATGAGGAGTTTCCCATTTGAATAAAATTTTATTTTATACATAATAAAAATATTATGTATTTTTATTTATTTGTGCTAGACACTGCTTATTAGATTTAATATTTCCTGATAATTTTATTACTTAATAGTAAATTTTTTAAAAGTATTTCTGATTACTTTCTTTTTCCCCCAGTCTAATGAATTTGTCGATGTCGTCAATGAGGATTTACGAGAGAAATGTAAATCCAAGTTGGAAATAGCCGAAAAAGAACTTTTTGTGGAATGTGCCAAGTAAGTTATGGTTATAAACTTAAAACAATAATACAGTGGAACCTCGCTTAATGAGCATAATTCGTTCCAGAATCTTGCTCATAATGTGAAACACTTGTTAAGCAAAATAATTTTTCCCATATAAATTAATGTAAAATACGATATTGCATTCCATACTGAAAAAAATACTCAAATATTTTATGTATAACATTTATTCAAAGAAAATTATACAATATATATTGTTAAGGAGCATGAATCATCATCATCATCATCATCATCATTTCTTCTAGCACAGAATGAACTAACCTGAAATGCAAATTCGATTTGCAGAAAACAACAAAAAAAAAAAAAATCACAGATAATATGTCTGATAAACACACCAAATGATATGCTAAATTCTTGGGCTATGTGAAGGCTATAGTTAAATATTAGAAATTAATGCCATCTCGTATTAAATTTAATGATACCAATTCCAGAAATATCTATCTAAATTAAAAATTATTTATAATTATTAAATTTAATACGAGATGGCAGCATCACAAATTATTCAATTATTATTCAATTTGTAATATTTAATTATAGCCTTCACATAGCCCAAGAATTTGGCATATCGTTCGGCATGTTTATTATATAACGGGCTATGGTTGTTGATGTTTATATGTAATATGTGTGAACACAAGTTTGGAAAAATGTGTGATCACAAGCAACATTAAGATGCTAGCAGACTGATAGAGCATGCACACAATTCGGGACTTCCTCTCCTCGTTGCTCGTTAAGCAAGTCATTTTCTACAAATTTGTTTTGCTCATTAAGCAAAGTTCCACTGTATTCATTTTGTGTGTTTTGAAATACTTAAAATTTAATTGCAGGCACTTTTCTGATGTAAGTGAAACCAGTACATATAGTTCTCACTTAATGTCTTTATAAATGTACCTCCATCTTTCTTCAATCATTTACAATTGTGGTTGTTGAATTTTCTTTATAAACAGTAAAATTGATTCTGTAAGGTAGAAAATAAATCATGGAGGTTGCAAACATAATTCAAAAAGAATACTAATAACCAAATTATATATTTTTTTTATATTATTTAGCCTATAGTAAAATTGGGTTTGTTATATGTTGCAATTTCCAACATTAACTGAGGACTTTTTGTACTTGTACTGACAACACTGACAAGTTTATAATTTTGAGTTTACATATAATATTATAAATATAAATAATTTCTTGAAAGAAATCATTAACACTTTCAATTATATATACATCCATTCTTAAATATTAAGTTCAGACACATTTAACTAAAACATGTTAAATTCTTGTAATAATTACGAGAATTTAACAAATTTCAACCATGCAAATTTTATTGGATACAATCAGAATAGATAAGTGAAAATCAGATGTAACTTCAGAATGTAGATACACTTTTTAGATATCAAATGAATCTTAGGTTGCAATTCCCAAATATAAGTGTCAGAAGTGCCACTGGTCATTTACCATTTTGTCAAATTCTCAATTCATCAAACAGCTGCTGGGAGATATTGAGGCATACTATCAGCTAGTTTTGTCAGTCTGTATGACAGACATTTCTGTCATTCTCCTAACAGCTCCTTGATACATGGATGCATTCTTAATTGGATTGAGGTAAGAACTATGAGCTAACCACTATAGTGTCCTAATTTTGTTTTTCTGTAAGTATTCTAAAGAAGGAATTAAAGTTGATAAATTATTCTAATTTTATAGAATTGAGAATGTTTAAAAACATTTACGGAAATTATTCTCAAACTAAAATTTTATTTCATAAAATAAAAGATGAACTTGATTCTTAATTTATTTTATGAGTTGTAGGCTTTACTTTAATGATATTCATGAATTTGGATTTATAATTTTTCATGTTTATCTTTTATATAATTACTTATTATAAAATTTGGACTAAGAAACGGATGTTCTTTTATTTTTGTATTTAATTTAAATCAAGTATTACCATATATTAAATGTTGTTTTTATATTTAAATCAATTTAAAACTGAAAGTTGCAATATTTGCCAGATATAATTAGTTATTTTGGAACCAGTAAGATAGGGGTTTATAAATAAATAAACAAATTCACATGTGTTATAACAAAAGTGCAAAATAAATATATTGGGTTGTTCAAAAAACAATTTCGTTTTTTTTTCATGAAAATAAATATTTATTGAATTGTATATCCATTTTGGTCCAATACCTTTTGCCATCTTTCTGGTAGTAGCATGATTCAACACTCATATAAGTTCTGATCTTTGCTTATAAAATACTAATTCAAGTGATTTTTCAGATTCTCATTTGAAGTAAATGTTTTTGTTTATAAAATTTTTTAAAGACCAGAACAAGTAATAATCTGAGGGTGCCAGATTTGGCAAATGTGGTGGGTGTGGTAGCATATTCCATCCAAGCTGTAACAGCTTCTTATGCGTTACCAAACTTATGTGAGTTCTGGTATTATCACGGTGAAACATTACACCTTTTCTGTTTGATGGTATCACTCAATTTGTCCAGTTGATGGTAATACACTTTTGAATCAATTCTGGAATTGTCTAATAGAAACTCAAAAAAAAAACTATTCCCTCAAAATCCCACCAAACAGAGAGCATTTGCTTTTGAAATGCTTTGAGCCAGATCATATCTTCTACTCCAAGAGCACTTGCATTTGGCATTGTTGTATACAATCCATTTCTTGTCTCCAATTATGATTCACTTCAAAAATGTATCATTTTCTTGACATTTGAAAAGCAAATCACAGATGTCAATGCAACGGAGCAAATCTCTTTTTTTAAGAACATTTGGAACCCATATATCAAACTTTGAAACAAACCAAGTTGTTTCATGTGATTGTAAATGATTGAATTTGACAAATTTAATCTCTTAGTGATTTCTCATGTTGTTATTCGGCGGTTTGCTTCAATCAGTACCTTTATTTTGTCTTCATCAGCTTTAACTGGCCTTCCAGAACATGGTGCACCTCCAATATTGAAGTTGCTGAAACAAATTTTATGAACCAGTTTTGGCACTGTCATTCTGTCAGCACATCTTATCGACAGACATCACACAATTTTTTTCTTGCTTGAACAGCATTCTTACCTTTTCAGTAATAAAAAAAGCAAAAATATGCTGCTTTTGATTAGCCNGACTTTTATGTGTTGTTATTAAAAATTAAGCTTTTCAGTAATAAAAAAAGCAAAAATATGCTGCTTTTGATTAGCCATATTTGATGGGATACCAAAAAAAAAACAATTACACAGAATCAAACAAAATTTTTTACAAAGAAGTCTTGAAATGTCAGCTGTCAAAATATATAATGACAATATGGTTTAGAATGAAGTTGGCTGTTTAAAAGTACAACTAATCCCTCTGGTGGTAAAAAAACGAAATCACTTTCCGAACAACCCTATATGAACCTGTTGTAACTCACGATTATACATTATGGCTACAGGACCACATAGAAAGCCTTTTCCAGTGCATGGAAATCATTTGTTTTATTCCAATATCATTATAGCATTTTGCGATTTTTAAATTTGCATATTTTGTTCTATTTATAGATGTTTGACATTATTAAAAGGTTTCACCAAACTACATAATAAATATCAGACCTTATTCAAAGAATTTATGCTGGAAATTTTCATTGTTTATGTTTTCAGAAAGCATTTAAAGAAGTTTTGTTTATCCCTAAAATAATATTCAAATGAGCTCTTATCTAGTTAATTATATTTCATATGAATTTGTTTTTATTGGGATTTTTACTTTATTAAGTAAAACAGAACAATAGTTGTTATAATTTTTCAATAAAATTATTTCAATGTTTTTTTCATGTTTGTAAATATTTAATAGAAATTAAAATACAGTAGAACCTCGATTATCCAGACTAATTGGGGATGAAGGTATTCCAGATAAGGAAAAATCCGGATAATCGAAACAAATACTTTAATTTGTCTTTTAATGATAATACAACATGTTTTCTTTTTGATGACATATCGGTAATATTAAAAGTAAATACTGTATTTAAATCATGATCAAATTTTCAAGAAACAAACGTTCGTATTGAATTTGGACTACTACTGACAAACACTAACAGACTACCTATTGTTTAAAAGGCCCTCTGGTGGCGCAAGAAGACGGATTTTATAAAATAAAAAGCAGTCGAAACTGCATTTTTATGAATAAAAATTTGACAAACTATTTATCGTTTTATGACGAGTAAAATTTTTTCGTCGCGTTCACGNTTATTTGGCAATTATTCCAATTATTGGAAAATCAGAGCAATTGTCACTTGATTAATCAGTAAAAAAGACAATTAGTACGATTAACAATTAGCAGAAGACTAATTGATACATCTCTAATAAGGACAGGAACATGCCTATGCAGAAATCTGCCACTGACATTACAAAATAAAGACACTGAAAAAGGAAAATAAAGAACAAATTGCATCCTACCTCATTTCAACAAAGGACAAGGACAATTTAGCTAAAGTAAAAGGCATATGACAACCTTAATTAGGCCTAATAATGGTTTATTTATGACAAATTAGCATATCTATCACAAAACTATTTATTTTATTTATTTATTTCAATTACAATAAGAAAAATCTTGCAACAATAATTTCCTCCCCCTAATTAACAATAAAACACCCAATACAATACATAAAATACAACAAACAAAATACAATAAGTAAAAATATAAAATTGTTTAAAGAATATTAAAAATTATATACTATTAGGGTCATTCCAGCATAAACTGGTAAACTATTTCCCTAAATGGCAAATCATAGAAAAACCGGTGCTACCAATAAACAATTAACTGTCATTCACCACATTTTTGCTATCATTACCTCAACACCTAATCGAAAAGTAATTGCAGTTTATTTTTACACTTGCCAGCTTATATTAGAAAGGCTATAACAGTACTTAACATACAAACAAAATTAACATAACATTTTAATTATTGGTAATTATTTAAAGCTATACATCACACATTTTTTTCTTAATTTCATTTAATTCCGAAGAAATAAACACGGTATAAGGAATATATCCAAAGTAGTACGTCGGAAACAAAAGCCGTTGAAGAACTTTTGGTTTTACGTAATTTTTTAAACGTCTACAAGGTGCAAAACCCATAACTTGCTGGAAAACTGCTAAAAAAAATTAAACACTCAGAACTAAAATAAAATTTTAAAAAACCCAAAACTAAAGCCAAGAATTTTTTAACAAATGCATGCCC